TCGTCACCTCAGGTTCGGTGGGGGGTCTCATGACTGTCTGCATCATGTAGAATTCCAGGTTTGGGGTAAGGATGCAAAATGGGATGCTAAATGTTTTTTCATGCTATTGTTTATCACTCAAATCCATTTGTTGATGCACCCAAAGAATGCTTACATGGATGAATTAGGTACAATTCAGGTCCTTCTCTTGGAAATAGACAGAATGTTGGGGTGAAGAATGCATTGGTTCTTGCTCCTTATGTTCCTTGCACATCCTTTGTCTTTGATGATTTTGTAGTAATCCATTGCAAGACATTCCAAGTATAGCTATATAGTGTTTTATATATTATGTTTTCCCAAGATTTCTTACCTATATTCGATTGTTCCTCTGCTTGCTTTCAAAAACTTTGTTGATCCTCTCCCTTCCTTGTCTATGTCTTCCCTTTTTAGATCAGCTTCTCCTCAGTGGCCTTCTCCATTCCCATTAAAATACGGTTATTCAATTGCTCAACTTCTTTGTCAGTTCCGCCAGTTTGTCAGGTTTCTCAGTTCTAGTCTGACATGGAATGATGTACAAAATGCTGCACCAGTTTAAGAACATGTCGATGTACAATCTTCTTTCAATCGTCAATGCAAGAATGACGACTAGCAAGTGTTATGCACTGTAGTCTTCTCCATGCAGTTCGTAGCTTCTCATGAGGAGTATGACAATACTGGATTTGGGATAGAACTGAGCCAACAAACGGATTTGGCTGAAGCAAACAAGACTTGAACCCAACAGTTCACACATGCTGGATCTATCAAACAGTTTCTATCACATCCTCAACATCCAAACATGTTTCCTTGGAGGCTGAAAGAGGATTCATCCAACCAAACTACATCAAACAAAGATCTGCTTGCCTCTCTGTCTCTCTGGATCCTCTGTCTGCCTCCTCTCTCCACAACCGGCAGCCGTCGCTGAGGCCCCTCACGAGGGCTTTGCCCTGCCTGGGACGGAGCGGCCTCTCTCCGTGGGGGTCCGGGTGGGACGCTGGGTGTCCAGGCGCTGGACACTTCAGACCGGTAGCCCGGGGGACCCAGTGTTCTTTCTCACGCTTTTGGTCATGTTCCCGTCCCCATTTGCGAGATACACTCTGACGAACACATCACATGGAAGTGGATGGCATGGCACCTAGGAAGACTCACTAATCCTTTACCAACAACCCAGGGGGACCCATTTTCCACTTCCCATGGTAGTCAGAGTGTATGGGTGTGATTTTTTCAATAGGGAGAGACCATCCCACCCCTGGGTGGGAAGGGTCTCTGGACTTTTCCCGAACCTTCCAGTCTGGCTAAGACACACCCGGCTCGGGTGGCCCATGTGTAGACACTCAGAGGGAGGTCTCCCTGTTTGAATACACACCCATATAGCCTCTTTGGAGGCTACACTTGCCGGGGAACCCATCCCACCATAGAATACAGTTGTTTGGGGAATAGAAAAAGTCATGAACACAGCAGATCACTCTCAATCAGGATCACCCCAAGTGATCACTCAGGATCACTCCAGGTGATTCAGGTGATTCCTATCACTCCCTGAACATCCTCATGTGTTAGTGGCGAATCGCCAGCTGTTGGGTCTTCGGAATTCATGCTCCTGCTATGCTCCTTCGTGTCCTCCATGATGAGTTCAGGGAGTGTATTACGGGCCTATTTGTGGAACAACGTTTACCAATCCACCCCAACAATGTAGGTTCTCAGTAGCTATATTTGATTATATACTTTATGGACACCCATGACCCCATATACAAACTTTGTGTTTAAGAAGTGCTCAATTTTTCCGGGAATGCTAATATCACTATCATTCACTATCACCGAGCTGAGATATCTGAACTGGTGCTCCCGCGTGGTGTTGGGTTGCATATGCTTGGACCGACCAGAAGTCCAAAGAACTCTTCAGCCTCTGAAACAGGCGCCTGGTCCGTGCGCCTGGTCGTGGAACACATGACGTGTGACAATGTGTTTCTGTCCAGACCCTTTTGACACTGAATATCTGAAGATCACTGAATGACAAGTACGTGCTTACATATGCTTACCGTGCTTGGGGAAAAGAATCATGCACACCCTGACCCTCCGACAATCATGAGCCATTACCCTTCATGTCATCCAGGTTTCTTGCATAATTACTTTCAGCCTGTACGCGTATCAGTTTGGAGGGGGGGAATCCTCTCTGTGCACGGACCCTTCCCTGGGCCTTTGCGTGGAGAATGATGCTTCAGTTGCAGGCCTTGAAACATCTTTAAACGGTTCTTGTTTACCAACTGTTACAGGTGTACTGACCCTCAACCTATTGTGTGCTCAGGTGTCCTGAGATCACATGAGATCACCCACTTGGAGATCTCCTGAGCTCACCTCCACTCGGCTGCTCCTCGCACCTCTGGTGACACCAGTGACACCGGCGACAGCTCCTCCGCGCCGGAGAGCGCATCAATGGGTTCAACGATGATTTTCGGGTGGAAAGGCATGGAATGGAGATGATCCAACTCATGATCTTGTGAATGGTCTTCCATCATTACAGGTACGGCAGCTCCAGCCAGCTCCACAAAAGACTGGCCTGATCGCCCTCATCAGTTGCCTGGCAGACGTTTTTTTCGAGGTCTACGTGAAAGAACAAATCCGAATGGTTCCAAGTTGCTGGTGTGATGTTCATGTTGTAACGCCATCCACAGGATGGGTTCTTCAATTTTATGACGCACTTATTTTTGTTCGCGGGTGGATGGCCATGAGTGTGTAAAATATTGCTCGACCTTCTTTGGTTGGTTTGCTTACGGGCACATACTGGGGCACATATATAGGCAGCCATCGGCAGCCAAGCTCATTGCTTGGCGGTTCTCCCTTTTCCGATGCACACCTACATTCAGGCGAGGTTTCATTCATCGCTCTCTATCGATAGAGTCCTCTGACATGCTGTGTTGTTTTGATGTTTTATGAGATGAGCAATGAGCAGAAACAACATTGAAACAAAAACGTTCCAGCAACTTCCTGTCGGGGTTTTCAATGGACTACCCTATACCTGTGCGTCTCCATTAAACACCCCGACATGAAGGTCCAGGTTGGTACATGTTCATGTTGGGAAACTGTTCAGAACTCCTTTCTTTTTTCATGTCCTTGCACAAACTTCTTGCTCCTTCTCACCATCCCTGTCTACCGCAATCCCACACCCCACCCATGTGTCCATGCCTGGAGCGTCGTGTCGAGGACGGTGTCGGGCTCACTGCGCTGAAGCTTCGCAGTGAAGAGGCCACCCACCTGGGCCATCGGCGCCGTCAGCGGCCTGCGGTTGTGGGTGGATCTTTCGCGGTGAGTTCGGAGGAGTTCCTCCGTTTTTGAGAGCCGATCGGAGCATTTTTTGGGAGGAAATTGAAGTATCCATGCCAGTTCTTTGGGGCTGCATGTGCTTTCTCCCATAATCTGTGAGGCTTTGGATCTGTTGGGGAAGGCCTCTCCATCCAATTCCAACTAAGAGCTCTTGTCAAATCAGACCCTGTGGGCCCATGATGGGCCCATGGGAGAGGCCCATGGGGTCTCCATGCACCAGACCCTCTGGGCGCGAAGGCCCCAACCGAGTGAACGACGTGAACAGCTTCTTCTTCTTCTTCATGTCGTTGGATCGGGTGAAACGTGGTTTTAACCCCCCCTGGCAGCTTTGCAATGAGTGCTGCGCACAAAAACCATTCGCAATGCACCCAACAACGAGCACACGGAATCGGACACGCCCCCAAAAGACGAGACCTTGGGGCTCGCCATGAAGTACGTCCGGTGCCCCCCCCAAGAGAGATGTAACACTTCCTCCGTCCCCTACAGACGGGAGACCCGCCTGTCATTGAAACGGATCAGACCTCCCGAGGGCTTCTCGTCCGCGCGGTGCGGCGGAACGCCGGTCCCGCGACCCGAGCTTTTCGCATGCGATGGATGATGTATGTCTACACTTGAGAGATTGATCAGAAAAAAACTCAGCAACACACAAGAAAAGTACACATCATGTTGTTATAAAAACAGCACGTGCTCAACTCAAGAATCATCTAAAAGTATATCTTAATATCAACTCGCTCAGAATGCTCTCCTGATCAACCTCCGAATTAAAACGAAGGTCATGTCTTCACATGCCTCGATGAATATGTCAAAAAAGAAAAACACATCTGGCCCCTGCATCATTGCGCTTAATGGTCGACGTATCCAGCATTTGCCATACTCGACCTCCATTCTTTGGTCTTCCCCGCCTCCGGTTGGTCAAGTTTACCGTGACCAATTCATCAGATTTAAGAACCACAGTTCTCGCCAGAAGGAGAGGCCCGTTGTGCCGTGTAATCACCTAATTGACATACCTCTACTATAGTCCAACAGGGGGTTGTTTCTTCCACTAGAGCGGAGATAAGATGGTATCTGTTGCATTTCCTATGGCAGAAACGGTTCATGTCCATAATAGCTTGGTTTCATGTGGCACTCTCAGGAGCATAGCTTGGCAGTCAATATGTTTCCCATAACTCTCTCGAACAAGACGGACAATAAATGACTTTTACATACCCTAGGGCTCCAACTACTACCTCCGTTTCGAAGCTGGTTGGGGTGGGGTTGGGGGCTCCAACCACATCCTCAGACAACATGCCCAGCCTACCAAGGCACATCACATTGACCGATGATGTCATTGATCAATATTTGCTGATCGACTTGAAATGGTGTGTCTGCCAGTGTCTGCTTCCATCGCGCAGGTGCCACACGGACGGACCAAAGCCAGAAAACGTCTGGGAACGGAACCTCTGTCGGCCATGCTGCCGCTTTAAGCGGGGCAGCTTCCAGGCTTCTGCGACCAAAAAAGAAACAAAACTACACACAGCAGCAATGGTCCCTTCTGAGAGCAGCTTTTTCGCACCCTTCCAGTCGATCCTATCAATGGATTTCAAATTAGCCGATTTGATGATCCAATGGTGGAATCATGAGCAACTTCTGCAGAAAAGCTCTTACTTTCCCCTCTGAAAGACCTACAGCTCCTACTCCCTGAATATCACAGGCACCATCATAGCCTTCCAAATTCAAACGGTCATATCAAAGGCTTTTCGTGTTGAGGGACACCAGCGCCGCATGTCCACACAGCACCATGTCGTCAGCATCACCTGGTGGCAAAGTGATATTAACAAAAGAACAACACGCGGCGGCTCGCTTTGTCAGGTTTGGGGAGAGAAGAGCGCTTGAACATTTCGGAGGAATGATTGTTGTTTGTTGTGTTTTTTCTCACGTGAGAACATCAATCATTCATCACTCACTCCAGGTAGCAGTCTTGCCACAAAATCATATCCACACGTGGCATCTTGAAGAGACTTCCGTCCAAAAAGACGAATCGCCTGTCTTGCCGTGTCTTGGTGGTCCGGTTGAAAAACATGAGACACAAGTCGACCACCAGGTGAACTCCTCGCACCCTGCTGGTCTGACAAACCCATGGATCCCAGGACCTGACCGTGCAGCTGGAGCTAGAGGAAACCAGTCTTTGAGGGTACCATTCTTAGGGAGGTTAACACTCTTTTTTACCTGTTCTTGTTTAACTACTGGGGGAACCCATTCCCCCAAAAAGGTCAAAGGACTGGCAGGGTAAAGGTTATCCACTGACTGGCTAGGAGATTAACAGCCCCGCTCCATGTTTTTGCCCTCCTTCCAGCATCCAGCTGCTGGTTCCAGCCATGCACCCGGTTTAGCAGTTCTGTTTTTTTTTTTGGGGGGGGGGGTCATATACATCTGGGTTTTTATGCCAGGTGACCTGCTTTTTTTGCCAAGTCCCTCAAAACTCAAACGCTCAACTCGTTAATATGCAGTGGAATGGATTGGGTGACAGCTTGATCTGGACTCAGACTCACTAAAAATACAGATGTATACAAATAAATACACATAATATAGATATGTATGCGCCATGAGAATGAGTTGAAAATAGTTGAAATGAGCTAGATGATTCCAATCTATAGGTCAAACGATGTCAAACAAATATCCTGCACCCACCCACCCCGGAAAAAGAAAACAACCACATCCTCCAGGTACCGCGCTTCGATTCGAAAAAAAAAAAACGCGTCCCAAAGCGGTGACCCGGTGTGGACCTTGCTCTTTAGAGTGAAAGCTTGGTCTCCTGGGGATCCTGCCGAGCCGACGCACGGCGCCCGCGCGACGGCGAAACCGGGCGGGGTTGCGAAGGTCGGTCGGTCGGTCGCGACAGCGCCCGGGTCAAGGAGTTGGGATGACCTTGGCGGGTTGCAAAAACTTGAAGGGGTGCTGATACAGACACTGTGAAAAGGTACAGAAACTTGGGATATGATCAGAAAGCTCATTTAGCCTCCTGCTCTCCCACTTGAGGTTTTTGTCGCTCAGCGTTTGTTACACTCGAGGTTTTGGTTGCGCTACAAATATTGGCTGTTCTCTTCCTGAGACAAGGTGTTCTTGCGAAAGCCCTCACCAACCCGAGACCCACTTCTTTCTCTCCTCTTCGATGGGCGTGTCCTGCGCGTTCGACTCGACTCGACTCGTTCAAGGATCGTTCGGCTCGAGTCCGGGCTTCCCAAAACGGCGAAGGTCAAGAGAAAGGTCAAGAGTCCTGCTGCTTCCGTCCATCAGTCTGTTGATGTCGAAAGTGAAGCACGTTTTTCAAACTCGTGGAGGCCGAAGAGTCAGAAGTTCAGTGATGTTCAGTGGCCAGGAACAGCTTTACCGTTTGCCCAAATTAAAAGGCTCCACACAGGCTCCATCAACCATACATGAACCATAAAATGCTCAGCATGAGCGGACTCCGCAGCTGTCGAGAAGACGACAAACACCCTCACAGACCCTTACGGGAACACCACGAAAAAATTGAGTCGCCAGCGCAATTACATGCCCAATAATGCCATATTCATATACAAGCCAAAATCACCACGAGTGAAAAAGATCCAAAAAGACTGATTTGCTGCCACAAACACTCAGGTCATCTCAGGTCAGTATGGTCTAGTACAAAACTGTACAAGCTATATATACAGTAATCTCCCTGGAACAATCATGGTTACGTGGATGGCATGCCCTGAAAGGATACAGTAGCCATTTCCCAAATACCCAATATAGGATATAGGTGGTGAACTCCACCTCCATGACTCTTTCAGGGAGTGTAGTATTCCAAACAAGAACAGGAAAGCCACTCCATACTCCTATGTCATCCAAAATTGGGATAGATTTTAACTTCATGAAATCTCGCTGAGCTGCTCGCGCAGCCGACCCGCGCACCCTCGGTCAGTTCCTTGAATTCGCCTTCTGATTGGATGGTGTCGAGGCGTCCCTGGTCACGCTGGTCGCGTCTGGGCGTGTCATGTGCCCTTTTGGGTTGGTTCAAGATCTGGTTTAGTGAACATTCTGCCCATGTTCTATAGTTTCTACATGAGGATTGCCTGGGTTCAAAACAAAAATATCAACCTTGCTGGCTTGAAGCGGAGCCAATCATAAGCACACAACAAAAGGAAGTGAGTGTATAGAAACATCATGAAACAAGTTAGCAAATACTTTCAGGTTCCATGTTAATCGACACCAGGGGGTTATTTCGTCGCAAATTTTGATGAAAGTCAAGCACTGGGACACTGATGGACCCTGAAACAAGGCACAACTAGACAAAAGAACTGGAATCCAAAAGCTCTACGTCGTAGCCCCCAGTGTCTGACAGGGCGGGGCTTTCTAGGCCTTCAGATCTCTTCAGTATGGGTCCCACACAAATAGTTGATCGTGGGCGGATGTAAAGGCTGGCTCTCATATTCCAACCTCACCAACTTTACACACATCTTACACACCGCCTCTCATCACATCCTTGGCACCAACCAAACGGCTCCACCGGCTGCATCTCCTCACCTCTCACCTATACCACCCCCCCCTCACTGGCACGAGCCAGCGTGTGACCCAGCCACTGGCGCCTGTGCGATGAGTCCCGTGGGCTTCACGGTCTCCGCCACCAGGGAACTGTTGTCCAATCCCAAGGAACTGCCCGAGCGGCCGCCTGGATCGAGCGAGGAGCGTCCTTCGTCCGATCCAAAGCTCCCATTGGACAGCGGCGGCGGCTGGGCGGCGTACGGCGGTGCTTGACCGGAGAAGATCAGGAGATTCAGGGAGGAAAGAACACTGGAAGGGGAGTGGGGTAAAGCCGGCTTTTTTGTGCTTTGATTATTTTGATTCATGTTGAGAGGAACCGGAACAAGTAAGGAGGAATTGGTGATGTTCTAGCCCCGGCTCTTGCTAAGTTGAGCTGAAGAAAATGCATCATTGCCAGACTACAGAGCATCAATTCAACACTTCCTCCTACACTGTTGGAGCTATACCATAAGGGAGCGTCAGAATACCGCTGAGAAGGACCCTTGAAACTTCCTCAACCAATGGATATATACACAAGATTATATACAAGTGGGCAAGCAACAGCCTCTTCAGGATCTTCTTGTGGAAAATCGCTAACCAGTACATCGCTGAGCTCCAGCACACTGGTGACATTTTCCCTCCCAGCTCCTCCCCTTGTCACACCCAGCCACGGTCAGTCATGAAGCTACCGCTGATGAAGCTGCCACCGCTGTTGCCCCGGAGGAATGGCGAGGCCCTGCGCACAGCCGCTTTCCGCGTCGCGTTTCAGCGGACGACTGGGAAGACGCCTGGAATGATGATTGAAGCGATACTTGCACGCCTGGAAACCAAACACACACAAAGACCTGTAGTCAGGAAGAAATCTGATTTACCTCTTTTGAAGAACGGAAACACCCTCATCCCTGGCAAAAGAAGGCCCGGAGTGTCGTCTCTCTTTGAGTTTCAACGCGACCGTCCGGGCCCCACACTCCGACCGTTTCACGCGACTCACTCTCCCATCATCAGCTCCTGAGAACGGCTTGTCCGAGATCAAGGCCTGGGACAGTATTGGTCAGAAGATGTCGGAAGGGAATAGAAGCCTTCGGTTTTAAGAGTGAGGATGGTCTTACTGCTATACTTATAGTATTGGTCAGAAAAATGCCAAAAGCGAAACATCCTTACACTCCCTGAAAATTATGATGAAAGTGGATCGCATGGCCTCGATTTTTTTGCAAAGAACCCGAAGTTCTGTTCGTCCACCACCGGTGTTTGTTTCACTTCTGTCATGGCCAGACAGGACTGATGTAGAGGCTGTAGAGGACATGAATCATCAGGAGGGACGCTTTGCAGCCCTTTTTGCAGGGGTTTCCAACACCACCGCACTGTGTTGCAAGACGTCATCGCAGGGTGTGTCATCGCTGTCGCTCCATGTCGCTTCAGCTCCGCGTTGTTCTTCGTTTGCAGCGCCTGTCTTCCAGACGTTCACCGGATTCACGCTGGAGGACGATGTTCCAGAGGTGGTCACGTCCTGCGTTTGTGTGCTTGGGGCGAACGAGTGCGAGTGGGCGACACGTGGGTGCTTTGGCTTTAGGGCCAAAGGGCAAAGGTGAAGGAGTGAAACAGGTCAAAACATGGTGGGCGCTTCCGGTCTCTGTAGGTTTTCATGAAATTCAGTTGGTGTCCAGTATGATCCAATCACAAAGTCAAATTCTTCTCAAAAAACAGTAGGTATACTTGGAATAGTTTGGATACATCCTCACCTGGTGACTCGCAACTCCTGCCCAGCTTTTGCCATACCTGCACCTACTTCATCCCCACCCCATACTTCCCATACTTCCTCCATCCTCCTCCCATTTTCCACCTCCCCCCACGGACGCTCCGGCTTTTCCACGCCCAAGAGCAAGTACAGGTCGCTCTCGACCACGTCGCCCAAGGCCTGGAAGGCTGAGGGAACCAGCGAGCCGTGACACCGTGGGGACCTGACGTGAACCGTGTACAAAAGACATGTGAAAAAACAAGCGGAGCTCTTTGATATGTTTTTTGATTATTTATGAATTATCAATTGATCATTAAACTGAGTTAAACAGATTTTAACAGTATACTTAAGATGAATTGAATGGATCCGACGTCCATTTTTCATCACATCTACGGCTGAAACCACCACTTCATACAACCTTCTGCCGCCTGTCCGGCGTCGGAGAAGGACTTCAGCATTTCCACGTAGCGTCCTTGACGGCCGTAGACCGGAGCTCGCGGGCGCGTGTCGGTCGGTCCCTGGAGGCGCGTGTCGGTCGCAACCTGGTGGCGTTGGCTGTCGATGAATTCTTTGGGTTAAGCATGTGCAAGTATTGATTGACAAACATGGGTTCGTTCGAACTGCTTTTTTTCGTTATTTTGGGGTTCTTATGTTTGCTTGTGCCAAGCACCTGAACACAGAACATGGACATGATTTCTGTGTTTCGGGTCAAATTGTGTGGCATACTTTTGGAAACTGCATGGCGACGCATCAACTCCTATAATAATTGTAATTATAATAGTGAAAATTTCATTCAACATGTTTGCTTGTGGCCTTGGAACTCTAGCTTGTTCAACCTCGTCCAGTGCCTTCTTGTTCCACCCAAGTGTCAGTTCCTTCATGGTCTTAGGACATCTTTGGGTACCAATTCTTGCTCCAACACAAAACAGTCTGTATCAGGTACGAGTATCCCAGGTAGTAGATCTAAATACACAAGACCCACAAAAATATGTAGATCTGCGAGTATTGAATGGTAAGTGGAGAGCTCAAAGGCCAAGAGAAATACGTCCACTGTGCCACCACCGAAGCTTTGATGTGGTCAAACCCTTGGATGAGGCAACTGGACCAAACACGCTCCGACTCACATGGTTACGTGGATAGTATGGATCCTGGAAAGGAAAACGATGGTTTCCTTGACGCACAGACGTGCTCCGTCTGACGTGTTCGTTGGAAGGTCCCTGGACTCCCCATCCCCCGACTCTCCACCTTCTCTCGGCCCAGGTGCGAGCGTAGTGGCTCACCATCCGCAGGGAGTCCTCACCACGCAACCACAGATCGAGACGTTGGGAGGCACAACAATAGAAGTGCTTGAAAGGACGGGTGATCCATGTCGATGTCTGTGAGCGTTCTGAAAAACAAGAAACACCTGCAACTTATTGGCTTATCTGCAATGTTGCGGCAAGCAACAAGAAAATGCTGAGACTTCGTTGCTTGGATGATTCTATACTGACTGCTTGGGAGATAGGACAGACCCTATATGTGTGACAACTCAAGGACTATAGGTCAAAGGGATCATGTTGGAAAGAGTTTCTGTTCACCCGACTGGATGGGATCACCCTCCCTGAAAAAAAGGAAACAACACCAAACACCTCTCAGTCTGAAATGGTATGGATTATGACAAAACATTGCCAAGCCAAATGTTATATATATATAATATTATACCACTCCCAGCAACAAATGGTGATGGCTAGTAAAGACCGTTCCCAAAATATGCAGGACAAAACCTTCGGCCCCTGTTCATCCAGCGCCTCGTGCTTGGCCACTGCCTGCGGGCAGTTCTCTTGTTGCCGGCACCACTCGCATCCACTCGCACATCAATGAGTTGCCAGGCTTGAATGACTCGAGGGTCGGGCTGGGTGAATGCTGTTTGGAATATGTAACTCACTGGTCTTGGATCCGGATCCTGCTTTCCGAATTGCAAATCCATGAACCATTACTTCATGGCTCAACTGACCAAGTCAGTTTATGGTGACAGGCCGACAGCAGCCAATGGCGACTGCCGCACCGGGCCTCCGCAAAGGCGTCGCTGTTCACGATGACCAGCTTGCCTTCGGGGTCTTTTGCGTGGATTGTGGGAAGGTGGTGGCCGAGCTTCATGACCGTTCGGTCTCCTAGCTTCTCCACCTACTGCTGGCACTTCATGCCCGACAGGAAGAACAACAAAATCTTTGTCAAATCCCCAACTCTCACTTCCTCCACCAAATCCTCACAAACACCGAAGACCGCTGCCCCCGCTGCTGGTCGCTGTAGATCGCTCGCAGTGCCTTTCGGCCCAAGTGGCTGTGGCCCGTGGACACGAAGTCGCCGTAGTGGTGCCACTTGTCCACCCACAGCGTGGCCTCGTTTTCAGCACATCAGTTTTCAGCACATCCAAGACTCCCGGTGCGGGTGCCGCGCGAGGAAATCTCTCTCTCTCTCTCTATGCTGATTTCGGCCGCGACGAGACACCGTGAAGCACCAAGGATGGCTTTTCTTGGTGGAAAGGGGATTGGTTCGGACTCAGCCGACACTACCCCGACTGGCCGACTACCCAAAACCCCGTGGCCATAGGTGTTGTGACCACCGAACTTGTTAGCTCATAGTCACACCACTTGGCAAGACTGAGCCAAAAGTCTTGAGAGGGGCACAAAGTAATAGTTGATATCTTCCAACACCAGGATGTTGGTGTGGGTCTGTGGCAAGATAGGCAGACCAACCAAAGAGTTCTCAGAAAGAGAAATACATGAACAATCAGCAAATGAAATACATGAAATACATGAAAAAGATAAACACATGAAAATCAAACATAAGTGTTGGAAGATGTTGGGAGAGTTTCTCTGCGCCCTGAGTGTTGGGGCGTTCGCCTCTGCGTTCGCCTCTGCGGAATTGCTTCAGTGGTGGGGGGGAAGTTCGCCGGAGCACCGGCCGCCGCACCACCACCCCGCCTCGCACAGATAGGTCCCGTAGGCGAGCTCATACGCCTCGCGGAAATAGCGAACATCTGGGACATCTCGGCTGGGGCTGTCGATTGTCGGCTAAACAATCAAACATTAAAAACACATCATATATGTTGTGTTTGCCCACCAAACCCAAAGCCTCCGATGGACGTTCTAGGCACCCAAACGTATGGGACTGGGTAGATGCCTTGTGTCTCGTCGGTTCTTATCTTCATGGACTTGGGGCTCAACATGGCTCAAGCATCACTGGGGCGTGTTTCTGAAGGGCCACTCCCACGTGCTGCAGGATGGCGCCTCCAAAATCTCCTCCTGGATGATGTGCCTGCGGGGCGGAACAGAATGTAAAAACAAGAATCCGCGAGCAGCGAAAACATGGGACAGGGACAGTCATGTCCTGGTGATGCATTTTGGAGAGCTTTTTGAACTCTAAAAGAACGAAAACAAAAACATCTGCATGACTCACTTGAGGAAAACACGGCGGAATTCAAGTGGAAAACAAAAGGGCACTGATCTGGGATCACTGTTAGTGCAAAGGTTCTATATCTCAGCTCGTAAAGTAGTCTTCTAAGGGGCAAGCCAAGCACCTAAGTGTTCTCACTGATGCTCAGTGCATCACCATCATCGTCTAGAGTCTAGAGCTGACTAGATCAACGACTTGCAAAGAACATCTCTCCAATCAACATTGTCTCAGAGCCCACTTGACCTCAGTTTCGATAGGAACAAACAATATATTTGGGGTGTTTGGTTGGTGGTCCAAAAATGTCCAGAGGTCATTCAGGTTCTATAGGTTTGTTTAGCCTATAAAGACTCTTGGAACCACATCACCCCTCCGCCGCACGCATTCTTCCTCTGGATGCCCCACAACCCACCACACAAACACAAAAACCCAGACACACGAATGTTCCCGACACACACGCAAAACCCAAACACACACACAAACAAGAAGGAACACACTTGAACACACCAAACTCATTTCAAAACCCACACACACCAATATGTGATATCAAAAAACATGTACGACCAAAGCCTTCCCACCGGAAGCCGCGCCTGCGCCCCCGAAGGATGTTATTCAAGCGCCGCGTGGGGCTGGACCGCGTGTGACTCGGACGACCGCGATCGCGATCCGCGATCCGCGTGAGTTTCGTGGGTGAAAGCGTCTGAGAAGTCTCCCCCAGGCGGAAGGCTTCGGATCACTGTGATCACTGACTCGCTCATGTATTCTCACGATTCTTAGGACCTACTCAGTGAGTTGTGAGAAACCCCTGCGTCACTGACTCTCTCATGTATTCTCACATATGCTCATTATACCTAACTCAGTGATGTTGTGAGACCGGCTGCGAGGAAAAAACGTTGCAACTCTGAGCCAAGTGACATCTCATTCTCCATCCCGCTGATTTTCAACCAGTTCTTCAACCCGGTGTCGGTGCTATAGAGTAGCCATCGACCTGCAGCTGTCGCATGGGAACGCGACAAGAAGGGTGTGGAAGAGCTTGACAACACATCGGTGTCAGCGAGTGAAGAAGCGCCTTCCACGAAGTACATCTGATGACCGACGCCCCCCTTGGCGAAAATGGTCTCCATGTGCCGCGTCGGCTCCTCGCACGCGGCACAGGCATGGCTCGCTGTGGTTGGTCAGTGCGGCGATGGGGCCAAACAGTAAATCACACAAATGGACTCAAAGCAATTGGGTCTTTGACGATCATGGGAAAGATTTGGTCACATGTATAAAGTCAACGTTATTCAGCAAGCCAAGGAGGCAAAGCCGTCCCGAGCTGAGCTGAAAAAGAATCTGCCCTTGAGTAGCTTCGCCATCGAGGCACGTGTTAAATGTTTGAATGCTGAAAGCACAGCAGCAACCAGGCCAGACCCCATGCGGATCTCTAACTCCCAAACTTCTGTTTGCTCAACTGGTTGGGCTGATTTTCCTCGTGCACCACGCGGGTGGCATGCAGAAAGCGCACGCGCCTGTTTGATGGCACTGATCAGCAAGGTTCGCACCGTGGATTGGAACTCCCAGCGGAACACACGGAAGAGCCTGGGGGACGATGTCAAGTAAAAACAGCGTATCAAGTTGACTTAAAATGATTCCGTTCATCATTTATGTCCGGATTGACTTCAACCAGAACATAAATGTCAAACAAAGGTCGTTGCCCTCTCCAACGCCGTCGAATCAAGCATCGTCGAGTCCAACATATCGTTGCCGTGTCGACAGAGTCCGAACGAACACGGTGCGGGCTGAGTCCGAACGACTCTCGTAGGTAGAGATTAAAACAAACACACAAACTGTTCTCTGGTAAAGATTTTGCCCAATGATAAAACGATCAAGGGTATCTGAGGTATAGATTTAGCGATTTAGTTTAAGCATAATGATGAAAACCTGGTACAGAACTGAAATGAGTCCAACACATCTCCATCTTGAGGGTAGTGCGTACAGGTTCAGACCCAGGTCCAAGCCTGGTTCCGAAAACCTCGTTGAGTATAAGTATAGTGCTTTTGTATCAACAACGGCAAGATGATGTAAAGATGAGGTCGTTCACTGACACTGTAGCGGGAAGTGACATCAACCAAAGACAAGACCTGGACCCTGAATCCTCCTGAAATCTGCTCCGTTGGCAAGTCACGGGTGGTGTGACAGCAGTGGGTTGCGCACCTCATGATCAGGTGATTGGTCGGCACATGTAAGGAAGCAAACAGGTTCGAAGGAAGAAAGCAAACAGGAAGTAAACAGGCTGAAGTTGCAAATTTTGAAGGAACATCTCCGACACCTAAAACAAGGGCTCAGCTACCCTTGTGTTAGCTACCCTTTTTTGCTAGTGGTGTTTTTGGTGGTGCCAGCCCGTTTGATCCTTCAACTCTGGAGACCCTTATTGACATGGCCCAGCTTGAACATGTCATAAGCCTTATTCCCCAGGTCACCAGCTCGACAACAATGGCCGGCGAGCTGGGACCCGGTAATTGGTGCTACATTCTTCTAGCCTTATTCCCCGCGGTCACCCGCTCGTTGACAAGAATGACCAGAGGGACCCCGCATAATTGGTGCTATATTCTTCTAGCCCCAGTGCAAAAATCCAACCCCCCGATATGTTGTCTGTTTAACCCTGGAAGTGACCCCTGGAAGTTAACGCGACATTTTGGTTACCCTCTGCAAGCAAACATCCACATGGTCGGGGATACTTGGACCAGAAGACTCGTATAGAACTCAGGCAAGGCACTTCGGACAGCAGGTCAGCCTGGCATGGCACTCTGGATGATGATAAGACTTCATCAGGACTTCATCATTTTTATCATGAAGCAAAGGGTAACGAAATTAGCCATCCTGGATCCATTTCATGGTCAGTCAGTCCAACTATAGAAGTTGTAGAAAGCTGCCCAGGGAAAGTAGTGGGGAAGGTAGTGAGTATCAATAAGCTCTGGTTCCCCACTTCCTGCCCTGCAATGAACCCTCAATTGCAAATTTACAAATGCGGGGCAGAAGCTATAAACCTCAAGTTGAAGGCACTGACTGGATTGTCTAGCATTTACATGCTAATGTGTTGGTGCACATGCCAAAGTAACCAATCAAAGCACATGATTAAGCTCCATATAAGCAAGGTTGAGAGTACCACAAGCTGCAAAATCTGATGCTCCCTTCCAAAACCCCGATAGGAAAAGGTGGGAATGGACCAAGTTTTACTATATCTTCCCGACCAGGAAGCGTGCACTAACAGAACATCACCACATCCACCAACCCCGTAAGTGCCCGTTGTGAGCAGCCACGGCATATTTTCCGCTCACGCTGAACGGCCAGTGTCCTGGCGTCCAGCACGCCTGACAATGCCTTGGGCATGGAAGGACCGAAAGGTGGGGCGGCACACCGCGTGGTGAGGATGGACTTGGCTCTGTGATCCCCAAGTTGTTACACTGTGAAGTGAGTGAAGAACCTACCTGGACCTCCTAAGTAGTGTGGGCCAGTGTGGGGGCTTCCAGCCAGGTGACCCCTTTGGAAGGTGCTGGTATATAAACGCGTCGAACAGTCCGATCGAAATGGACTTGCCTCTGTCAGACTGGACTTTCGCCACGCCAAGCTAGCTGAAGACTGTTGAACATCGTGAAGCCCGGCAGGGACAAACGACAATGTCAGTCATGTATTCCTTCGTCCGGTATGGATGCATTACGAATGATGAAAAAGGTCTGGGGTAGGACTGCCAGTCAGTTGCCTGTACTGCCAGTCAGTTCTAGAACTACTGAGCATTCTGCTGGATGTAATGTTTTCCCTCAACAGCAGGGAGTCTCTTCCCTCGGCCCTTCAAAGGTTCCCGTGGCGAGATCGTCTATCCAAGATGCGGGCTACTTCTTCTCCTCCTGAGCCTGCATCACCCAACTCATGGTAGCGGTGGCTCAAACAGGCTTCGGGTCTGTATACCAAAAGTCTAATTGATGTTTCATCTGTACTATTGAGCATCCCTGAGCTTTCTGATGCTAGCTTAAATGGTTTTAAACATAATCCGATGTCTGCAAACCACCCCGAGCCGTGTCCGACCGGCCTCCAGGTCAGCATGGGCTTTGTCCTTCGGCCGGACGCGCGTGTCGCGCGCCGTTCAAACCGGGGGGACAGGTCTTCGGACTCCAGAAGCCGGAGATCCCGGGCAAAGTCCCAGGTGAAGCGAACTGAAACCACCTGGGGATTTCTGTGCGGCCGAGAAAAGATGGTTAAACCATGCTTGGGTAGGTCCAAACTCCAACGCGGGGTCTGAGTTCGAGCTCGGACCAAGCGCTGGATTCGACCGGACTCTTGGACCAAGTGAAGATCACTGGGGTCCATCCTACTGTCCATTTTATCAGGGTCTTCGAATGGATAATGATGGGGCCTGGTGGCAGGCGGACATATATTTACCGCCAGTTACAACTAATAGGACAGACCGAAAAAATCCCCTCTTGAGTAAAACATGGTCGGTGTGAAACGCCATCAGCAGTCACCAGCCAATCATTGAAAGACTGACAGTCATTCTGCAATCTACAACCCCTCCCCACCTTCATTTGCCTCCACACTGCCGCCTTGTTACTTCCGCCTTGCCTCGTTTCGTTGCCTCCACACTGCCCCCTTGTTACTTCCACCTTTCCCCCTCATTGCCCCCACACTGCCCCCGTGTTACTTCCACCTTGCCCCCTGGTTGCCACCACACTGCCCCCTAGTTAGTTCCACCTTGCCCCCTCATTGCCCCCAGACTGCCCCCTTGTCACTTCCACCTTGCCCCCTCATTGCCCCCACTGCCCCCTTCATACTTCCACCTTGCCCCCTCG